TAAAGAAAAATGCACACCAGTTTCATCTTTTCTTTGCATTATATGGCAGATGAGTCAAATGCAAAGCAGTAAAAAAAATAAATAACTTCAATAGCTTGCTGCCTTTGCACATCCTAAGATGTTCATGTACAGGCAAGAAAGAAGGTCAGCTGATTGATAATGATGAGCAGAACAAACACGATGAATGAGAATCGTTGTTTATTACTGTCACATGCGAGAAAAACAGATTGGATTTTTTGCAGCAGCCAGAGATGGACTGTGAGGTGTCAGAATTGTATACAATACAATATTGTTCACAACAGTTTGATGTCTGGTTTGTCCAGTCTGCAGCATGTGAGCTAAAGGTTCAGCTGTAAAAAAAAAATTGTGTTTCAAGAAATGAAAATAAAAGACAGGCAAGCCATTTAACTTTCTTTATCTCTCTGTCTCTCCTCTCCAGACTCACACTCTATCCAATGTGTGCATGCCTTTGTGTGGTTGAGTGGCAGAGCATTTAAGCTGTGAATAATATTTACATAGACCACTGTGGACCACCAACTCTGCAATGCTTACACAGTGGGTCCTGCACACACACACACACACACACACACACACACACACACACACACACACACACACACACACACACACACTCAAAGACACAGGAATAAAACACAGAGAGCTGTCCAGAGAGATCAGCTCTTGTGACATAACCAGGTTCCAATCTTAAACAAGCAGTTGCAATGTAAGGCCAAGCATGTGATAGTGTGTGCCTTATTCATTAGCCATGCTATTTTGGTGCAGACAGTCCTCACTGTCAACAAACAATAACACATCTTTTACCATCAGCACCATCACAAATTCCATTAGTACACAAGGAAGGAAGGAAAAGCACATGTGCTGACCATAGGAGCATCTGAGTGTACCACAGCAGCCACTGCAGTATATCCCTGCTACAGTGCTGTGAACAAAACAGACATAATGTAATGCAACGTTAACATCTGCCAAACAGCAGGCTGCCAAGCCATATGTCCGATGTGTCTAAGCCTGCATGTCCAACTGGATAATGTTGGATCCTTTTTAGACTTTACCCAGCTCCTGTCCTCTTCTGCTTGCTCTAATTCGCTTTTATTTCAAACAAAATTCCTATAGGCTGTAACTTCATCTTCATCTTCTCAAAGGATTTACATGCATGTGCGTGGAACATGTAAATGTTAAAACCAGGGTTTACTCAAAATCTTCTTTGGTCTGGAACAATACCTCACATGAAACATGTGAAATGCTTTGCTTTCACATGAAAACGTGTGAAAAGGGGTTCAAAAAAGGCAATTCAAGAATTCTGTGTCCAAACTTTATAAAGATAAAGATAGATATGGATTAAATTTCTAAATATACCCTCAGTTCTAACGTGGATGCGGCATGAAAAGAAATAGACTTGGCCACAATCCCTGCCACTTTATGCTGTATTCATTTAAAAACAGCCAACAAGATGTGTATTTGTATGATTTCCAAAATGCCTGCGCAGGTCTGCCAATTCTATTCCCTTTAAATGATTTTCTAACTTCGATTGCAACTGCTCTTACTACAGGGGCAGTCTCCCTGAATTGTGTAATATTTTAATATCACCAAGTACCTCTGTTCTGTAAGAGAGTATATCTTACATTTCCGTGTCTGGGTTCTTTAGCAGCCACAATGAGCAATACGGATATAACACTGTGGTATTATTCCCCAAAGGGAAATTCCCTTTTGAAAACAGAAACTTTGAAGTTGGTAGAGATGCTTACTGCATAGGGATAGCTGATGGAATAGATGATTGGTTGACATAGCAGTCTGCACCCAGTTTTAAGATAGAGAAAGAAACCATGCCTTTCATTAAGGTCATCAATAAAAGAGTCTCCTCATCAGCCAAACCTCAAAATACACGGAAACATTTTACACATTCTGATGTGTTTTATTTAGTCTGTGGAAACAGATGTAAAGTGTCTTCTGTGGCTCTGGAGGAAGCTTTTTTCTGATTACATCATCAGGGTTACCTTGAGCTGGAGATTTACATTTTTTGACAGAAAACCTGTATTATAAACTGGGACCTTTCTTTTTATTTTGGCTTTTAATTTGGAGTAATGTTATAGCTTTAGTTTTTAGGTTTTAATTAGTGATTCTTTTTTTTTTTATTTATGTTTAAAAAATAACATAATATATATTAAATAATTTGATGTTGAAAGACTATTTGGTTGTATTTGTAGTATCTGCTTTATATATATATATATATATATATATATATAAAGCAGATATTAGCTTATTACAGTTATATCCATTTCAGATTTTTTTTAACTCCTAAATATCTATTTCGCACTGGCGTCAAAAATTGGAAACACACCAAAACCGATACCAGTATTGGGTCAGATAATGTCCACATGTACTCGTAACTGTAATCATGTACTCATCACTATAATTTCCCTTCGGGGATAAATAAAGTATTCCATCTATCTATGAAACTACTCTGATACCATATACTACACCACTTTACGGCAGCATGAAGTTTACATACTCGTTAGTTGAGAAGGTAGGCGGAGGAGAGGCAATTTAAGCAGTTTGAAATATTTTAAGCAACTTTTACAACACAACAGTGAGTGAGGAACATCTGATGAAAATAAAATGTGTTTTCAAAGTGATTATTAGAACTGTAAGAGCATTCTTAAATACTCATATTGGTACTTGTGTCGGCAAGTACCCAAATGTAAGTACTTGTGTGTGGTCTGAAATAAAGTGGTATTGGTGCATCCCTATCAAAAATCTAGTAGCAGTTGGGCTTTAATCTTTCTCTAGTAAGTCCCCCAAATGTATACAAGTAAAGAATAAATAACTGGACTACCCCTTTAATGTTGGAAGTAAACTTCCCTGTCCCCTGTTTTCCTAACCTCCATTAACATTGAAAAAGTCTTAATGTATCCTCTGATATACCCAACCTTCCCCAATTCTGTGGGCAAAAGGTTACATGTCCGATATGTTAGGTCTCTCAGATACTCTTTTCATACAGGAGATGTACATAACATTTAATCTTGTTCCATCCCTGATAGGAACAGCAGTTCACCAAAGCCAGGTAGCATCAGATCCATATTCTACCCTCGCAAGAAGGATCATTAAGGAAAGTTGGCAGGCCGCGAATTGACCCATTCAGACAGCCCATCCACGTAGGTTTGACCCACGTCACTGTGTCTGTCTGAATTGGGTATGAATCATCAACTCCCCTTCTTAGAACTGGCAATCTTTTGGGAGAAGACGTAAATCCATCTATACATGCAGCTCCATACTCATGAAACAACTGTGCCTATCTAACTATTTATCTATCTGTCTCCATTTCCTCTTTTCCTTAAAACACCATGTCAAGATTCGCCTCCAAAAAGATACACTTCCACCTCCAGGCTGTGACCGCCATAGGCTTGTACAAACACACACACACACACACACACACACACACACACACACACACACACACACACACACACACACAAAAGATACCAAAACACCATGCAGGGCTGGATGCAGCCATTCAGCCACCATCTATACTAGCTATAACCTCCCCTCCCCACAATCCTAGAAGCCAAATGGAAGATAAGAGGAGAAAGAACAAGTTTGCATTTTATAATTTTGCTTGTGTCTTTATACTCTCAGTACCCGGATTAGATTCCAGGTACACAGGAATGTACTCAGCAAATAAATATGACTCGGGTCCTGATTTTGTTTTTACACCACCCACCTCCCCCGCATAAGCAATGAAAAAACATTGCAGTGGTTCATCTTCAAGTTCTTTTCATAGTGCTTGGATTTGGGTGCACATTATGTTCTTTTTTTGTCCGTGCTCCAGTGTGTTAAGACATCCCACAGATGAAAATTATCCAGGCAGGATGTTCAGCTGAGGGGTAATAATAGAAACCAAAACAGAAATGAGCAGCTGAAAACTGATTTCATTTGGACTATTTGGCATCCCTGCATTAAATTAAAATGAATGATTTTTTAGCACAAAATGGCTGCCAGAACAATGTTAGCAGAGGGATACTGAACGCTCAAAGATAGCATTTAACCTGTACAAATGACTAATACTCAAACATACAGGGCAGGTTACTCTGAAATAATCAAGCACACCAAAACCAGAATTAAAGTAATCCCAGAAACAATGCAAGGAAAAGGTTAAGACATTCATTCATACATAATCAGCAGAAGGATGTTACCAAACGTGACCAGAAAAGAGCACGATTCCCTGAGTTGAAAGTCCCAGCAGACTCTGAAAACATCAATATGGACAGAGAGCTCTCAATTACATTAATGACAATGATGCCTCAATGCAAACATGCGCTGTGCAAGCACATAAAAGATGTGTCCCAATTTTGCTTGAATATGTATCTGGATCTACTTTTTTTTTTTTTTAAAAGGGCCACAGGTCGGACTCAAACCCATGGTTGCTGCAACGAGGACTCAACCTTGCTACATAGGGTGCCAGCTCTACCAGGTGGGCTACCAGACAAACCATCCAAATCTCAAGCCAATGCAGGAGAGAAACTCAGCGAAAGTAATACCGACTCTTTTCTCAATAAACACGAGCTCAAGACAACGGTGGTAGGACCTGTTAGTCTTACAAATACAGCCACACACTTCATTAGTAATCCCATATGCCCAAACAACGGTATCCTAAGGAGGTTTAACCACAGTGGTTGGACAAATGACCTATCAAATTTCACCAGTGTGGAGCCACCGTGTGCTTGTTTAGTCTCAAAGGAATAAGCAAGTTGCCACTTTCATATAGCTAGCATCAAGCCTTTAGGAAGCAGCAACAGCTGACTAAACCATCAAGTTTTGACGTGTGTTTTGACGTGTGTTTTGGGCTGAAAAGCAGATTAATCACATACCTTTTAACCAAGCGATGTGCATAAGCTTGGCAATAGTCAACACATACGGGAGTGAGGACATATTTGGTCTTACCAGGTGTCACACTGAGTTAGGTTTCCAGCATATGAAAGGATATGGGTTACAGACGACGCGAAGACACCAGTTGCGAGGCCTTGTTGTTTGCTTTAAGCAGAAGAAGGCCACGGGGGCCAGGGCCGGGTAGGGCTGCTGCTCCTCCTCCTCAGAGACACAGTCTGGATCACGAATAGGAGCCCTGATACGAACTCCCAATGTTGGTCCAACTTCCACTTCCAGCTCCGGTTCCTGGTCTTCATGCTCCTGAACCTCAGCACTCCATTCTCCTCCACTACTGCCCCTCCTCTTCCTCTCCACCTCCTCCTCCTCTTCCTCCTCGTCATGGCTTCCTCCAGGGTCAACATCCTGACCCGGGTCGTCCTTCCTGTAGGGCGTCGGTATAGCGAGCCTCACCTGCTCCTGCACCTCCTCCTGCTCCTGCCCCTCCGGGCACTCTGCGTACTGAAAGCGCGCTCTCCCCTCGCCATCAGTCATGATAGAGCATCAGGCAGAGCCACTCTGAAGGGAGGTCAGAGGAAGAGAGGTTAGAGAGAGGTGGAAAGCGGGAAGGGGAGGGAAGATGGACGGCAGAGACGGAGGTATGGAGGGACGGACATTTGCAGAAGATGCAGAGAAACAGTGACAGAAAAGGAAGAGGGCGAAAGACAGATCAACTCAGCAAAGAGCAACTGGAGACAAATCACGCAATGAGCCAAATAAACACTCAGACCATTTCCTCCTCCGATCCCTCAGCAGCAAAAGTACCTGCTTCCAATCAATCCAGACACAGATTTTCGATATTCGTTTACTAATCTGGCAGCGCCTGAGGCTTTTCACAAGCATTTATTTCAAAAAGCTCTTTGTCAACACTTCTTTTTCTGTGTGTGTCTCTCTCCACTTAAAAATGAACTATCCCTATGATAGAATGATCCCACAAAACGAAAAAATCCCTGTTGGAACATCTCAATAAATGATATGATGATATATGAGATAAATGAATACAGCAAACTCACTATCATTACTATTACTATTATTGGCTGTTTCAGTGACTCCATATAGTTGGAAACACAAAAAAATGCCCATTACAATAAAGTAATAAACTTCACAGTGTTATATTGTGATATTATGGGAATAGTGGGGATTTATTTTTCTCCTCGCTCTTCCTGTTGCTATGTGATTGAACAGATGGACTGCTCTGTCTCTGGTCTACTAGAGGATTTTAGCCCACACCACGCAATGGTGGGCAGGGAATGCGCAAAAAGAAGAAAAAAAACACACACAAAAACTGCCACACTAATCCTGATTATTATAATAAGTGGAATAACATCGAGGGAAAAACATTAGTCTTCATAATCCAGCTAACAGACTTTTTCTCTTTTAAGGGCTTTATTAATGGGCTTTGTGGTCCATCGTTTTGCCGTTTTATGAGAAAAGCGCATCTGAAGGCAGTTGTATGCGCTCCTCAAGGGATTGTGTGACAAAGGGGGGAAAAATGTCAAACATGCTCTCCTCAGAATAGCTGCTGAAAAGTACAAAGAGAATTTAAAAAAAAAACCCGGCTGAGGGAATGGAGCGCCCATCACCTGTGTGTTTTTTGTTTAATAAAAAGTGGACTCAATTCTGGACGCGATCGATATTAAAACATCACAGGCAAACAACAACAACTTTATTCTTTTTAAATACCTTATCGAGACGGAATCGGAAGTTCCCATAAGCATGATCCGTGACTTTCCGTGTTTCTAGCGCACCCAGCCTTTCTCAGCAACCCGGAGCTTTCCTTCCTTTCTTTCCTCTCTTCTGTCTCCCCCAACAACAACAAAAAAAACCCCTCCTCACTTCTATTGTTTTTCACAGATCAAAAGGTAATCCGAAAGCCGTTTTAAAAAAAATAAAAATCACTGGAAGTAACCAAAGAATCACTTGAAGTGGTCTTCATTTGCGCGTTCGGTTAAACGGGAACCTCTATCCACATCCATGCATCCATCCATCCGTCCATCCTCGCTGAGGTGGTGGTTACGCAGCGTGGAGCGGAGATGCGCGCAGGAGGGTTCGGACCGTGTGGGTCGCCTTGCTTTGAAGCTCCGTGGATGATCTGACACGGAAAAAACTTGGCCCAGGACCCGGGAGCCCTGACACGTGACGTGATGCCCGGCTATAGGGACGTAGCGCGCGGTGGGAGACACACGCGCGCGCGCGAAAAAGCCACTGAGAGCCAATCTGGGCGCGCACGCCCCGCGATGTTTCATGCATCACTACTGCATGTCAGCAGCAGATAATGGGAAGGGTATGAATCATATATTAGCCCATACCTTGCGTGGGTGTAAGGGACGGGAACACGAGGAACCATTATTATTATTATCATTATTATTATTATTATTTCCATGATATTCCTTCAAAATGTAGCCGACAGTAACATTAAGTGCTTCTGTATAAAAACATTACATTGTAGAAAGGGAGCTAAAGTAAGTGAGGTTAATTGTGTCTATAGGTCATTTCCTATGTTTTCAGTGATATATAGGCTACATACATATTTCCCCGGAGGTTAACAGTATTTGTTGGGCTAAATAGATGGCTTTGCGTTTTTCAACTACACCTTGGATGTGTGTCACAGACAGGGGTCAAAGTAATGTATGTCTGCAAGGAGATTTTGAGCAGTGGCCACAGTTGTAATTGCAGGACACTTGGGCAAAAACACTCTTTCCCCATACACAAAAAGAAACTGCTAATGAAGAATACCTTTTTTTTTTTTTTGAGCGCCATACACTCAAAATGATTTTGTGACAAAGCTTTGTTATGCCATGCTGCTATGCTAAAATATTTAGGCAATAAAATAATAGATCCATGCCCACTGCTGATCTGCATGGTTAGACGAGCCACTTACGGAACAATATTCATCTGATTTTATTTTATATCACCAGATCTGGGTTAGTCAGATCCAGTCTGGATCCTTAATCTGCTCAGGAACCAGGCTGCTGTGCCAGTGGACTCCAATCTGGACCAGAGCTGCATATCCGTTCTGGGTGTTATGATACTGCCAGAGCTGAGCAGGTCCAAAGTCAGTTTATGCTCTATATCTGGGATTCATATGTGAAGGGGGTCAGCAGGAGGTCACCTGGCAAGCCAGAAAAGGATAGTATGGGCCAAAAACCACAGACGCCTAAGGAAGTCTGAAAACGTTTTAGGCACATGTATCCAGCGAGCAACTTGAATATTTATTTTGGCAAGATTTTAAAAAAATGAGAGAAAACGCACAAAAACATCTGCGTGCAAGCCTCTACGTCACTAGAGGCTTGCAGGCAGACATTAAAAAAGAATTGGAAAGCCACACACAGAATACAATGTTTCAAAATGTTTATTTATGAATTTACTGATCAATATCATCATTCATATAGTCATGGTTCAGTAGCTGTACGCAACCAGGCAACTGCTGCTTCTGTGCCGCGTCAACGTCTTTATAGACGATTTGATTTGACGATCAATTCAAGCTCCCATGCAGCCTGGGTGATCCATCACAAATACATACACTATATTTAATGAAGAGTGTTTTAGTGTGATAAAGGGAGAGAGAGGCAGAAAAGCAGAGAGTGGAAGAGGCCGCGTGTTGGACGGAGGTTTTATGGTGGGGAGGGGAGAGTTGAGTGCCATTCTGTAAGGGCCAACCTGCTGACAGCAACACCATGAGACGGATCTGCCAGAAACTTGACATTAATTGACATCAGGAATAGTGGAGACTGAAAGAAAAGCTCCCGACTGGAATCAAATCCCTCAGGGTTCGTTTAGATCTGACAGCTGATAGGATGAGAATCCCATCAGTCAAACACCATGGTCACAGGAAAAGTTGCATGTCTTTCCGACGCAGCAAGTCTGTGGCAGATTGTGGCAGGGAAGTCATCCATGTGTTCCTGGTGGATCGCTCACCCTGGCACTCCAGACGAACACAGGAAAACCAATAAAACTGTTTTAAACTACCAGTGCTGCTTTTGTTCCCACTGGAATCTAAGGAGAGGGAACGGTGGAAGACTCCAGCTAAAAGTCACTGCACAGAAGAAATATGAGCCCACATAGCCACTCATTTAAAACATGAATACATTAGGTAGTCCGAGTTAACTTACTGAAGCAAAATAACTATATATTTTACATTTTTATCAATAAATAATAAAAAGATCAAATAACTGAATTCTTATGAGATAGTGTGTCTTAATAACAGCTCACAAATGTAATCACAAGGTTCATGTTTTTATTTTGGATAATGCCACTCACCCTTTCCTGAGCATAATGCAACAAAGTTAGCATTAACCCTGCTCAGGGAGGGAAGGGACAGAGTGAATGAATTGCTGTTAGTGCTCATATCTCCTAATGGACAAGTAGACTAGCAGGCCAATCTCCCAACAACCTGACGTAATCCTTTAATTTTTGTGTGTTTACATACATAGGGATATGAAACATAATCTATACAGTCCCTGTCCATGTGTCTGGAGCATTCTAGTTTGGTTGTTCATATAACAATAGTGATTTATTAAACCTGGTACAGGATAGAACCTCAAAATAAGAATTGCGTGTTTTTATAACCTTAGAATGAGTAGTTTATACATACAGTCTGCCATGTTTCTCCTACACTGCGAGCTGTATTCAGTTGGTTGCAATCTGCCACTTCACTGCTAGATGCAACTAAAGCCTACAGACTGGTCTTTTAATCATGAACATGTAGTAAATTATGATACAATTCAACAAGTTTTGCATCTGGAGATCAGAAACCTGCTTTATCCAACTGAAAGAAACACATATTATATACTGTAGCAGTCAGGCACATAATGTTTTTGTGCTCCAATGACTTATTCTACTTTCTTGTCGTAATTAAAGCCAAAGGCTAAGTAGTAATGTTAGCTGAATCAGATCAGATATGCAACTTTAGGGCTTCCCAAGCCAAGCCCATCTCCCCTAATTTGAAATGGCAGTACTCAGTTCCTTAAACACTTTGTTAAGACACCAAATGGCTCTAAACCCGAAATCCATTAAATGCCCACATAACAATGCCGCAGTCAAGATCTTCAGGATGATGGACTCTCTGCCGGGTTAGAAAAAGTTTAGTAAACCAACCTTTTGGCAGCTGTGCTCTTTGATTAATGCAGCATGTTACAATAAGATTTGTTGTAACCATGCTGCCACTAACTCGGTCTTTTATTGAACAGGATTGCCCTGAAGCAATCTTGCACCGTTCACAGATCACTCTAAAGCATCAGCTACGCTGGAACAAACTGCATAAAAGCTGGGCTCGTGGATGTGAGTCTGCTGCCAACCTTCTCGTCGCACAAGGCTAAGCAGATCAAAATAATAATTTGCCAAAAGGTTGATGTTCTCCTTCCCTTGGCAGTGGAGCCGTGTCCCCGAAAGCCAATTAAGGAATCGTTTGAAGTAGTGAAACTGAAGGGACAATGGAGTCACTCACAGGTTTTGCTCAGAAGGGGTGAACAATCTGTTAGAAAGGAAGACAGTCTGTATTTTGATGGTCATGTAGTATAACTAAAGCGATGGTCTCCTTCTAATTTTAGTTCATGTAGCAGTGACTAATACAAACGGTATGCTTGAGCCCTCAGCCACGCTGAATCATGCTTTCCCGTTATCTGCCTGTGGAATTGGACATTATCTAAAGTAATACCCATCAGGACGAGTTGCGGAAGTAATTACAGGACTTAAATGCCCTGTGTGTGTTTGTGTGCGTGCATTCACTCTCAACTGTGTGCAGCGAGCTGACCGAGAGCTCCACGCACCCCTCTGACACCTGTCTCTCTCCCACCTGTCTGCCCCCCGCACCAACCTCCCACCCCTCCTTCATCATGTTCGGAGTTGGTGCTCATATCCTCATTACCATAGGCTTGGCCCCAAAATGTCTCCCATGAGGCTCTTGCTCATGTTGGCTCCAGTTTCACTCCACTCTCAGCTGTGTGTACAAAGCCTGAAAGCCTGGTATGAATTTGCTCAAGGCATCTCTTACTAAATTGTTGTCGCTATACCAACCCTCAGCAGCACTTTCTGCCTCAGGAAGGAAAAGTATCTGATTTTCTCTGCTCGCCTCTCTTTTCTTACACAACAAAGTCACTCCTGAACTTGCAACTTAACTGCGGACTCCAAAACACTTACATGTACACAATACCTTTGGTCACAAATTCCACAAGGGGACAAATACAAGGGTTATAGCTTTATAAAAGAAAACATCTCTCTTCACACACTGTTTTTAATTAATTTATACTATGCATGCAGTATTGCCACCAGTATAAATCAGTAGGAACGTGTGTGCTTCCCACAGATATTCAATAGTCCTCCGTCAGCCTGCACTCTCTGCCTTCCACTCCCTGGCTTTCCCAACCACTTCCCCATCCCCCCATCCCATCATCATCCATCCTCCCCTCCACTCTGACTCCCACGCTTTCATCATCCAGCCTTTTCTTCCTGCTTTTCTCATCTACTTCTCATCAGCGACCATCACTTGATCTGACTATACAGTGGAAGAAAGGGGGGAAGCCATTGGACACGCACAAAGTAATGGGTTTCTATTTCAAATTCTATATGAATCTGAAAAACAAGGATCCGATCAGACATAGACACTGATGAGATGAGAATTAAATTTTTTTCTTAAACATTGCACACTGTAGTTTGGAAAAAATAATTTTCACATAATGAATGGATAGGTGTGTCACGTTTGGTTTCCGTTTCGTAAGATATTAGGAAATGTAGAATGCATTACATAACGGTGTGAGAAGCGACACACAAAGAAAAACTTCTTTGACAGAAGCTTAAAGGATAATCATGTCTACGTCCTGCCCGCATTGTTGATTGACAAGTGATCTCTTGAGATGTGCAGGCCAGAAACACAAGAAAGACATCAAAGACGTCTCCAAAGTAATGAAGAAAAACAACTAAGTCGACGAATACTTCTCCATTTCAGCATTATCTTGGTTCCTTTCCGCTCCATCTCACCTTGTACTTTGATCCATCTTAGTTCAATGTATCTATATCTGTCCCTCCCTGTCTCTAGGGGGCTGCGGTCTTCTCAATAGGCCTGCTGACGTATGTGAGTAGGGGGAGACCCTGCTTTTCTTTCTTTAAGGGGCTTCCCCCTAGCAGCAGCACGGGCATTTCAATACTGTACATGTGCAGACACAAGTGTGCGTCATGAGTGTATTGCACAAAGCCACT